TTTTAAATGATGCTGAATTTTGGTAGTGCAATTTGTCAGTGCAATTTGGAAGCAAGGTTATTCAGATTAGGGCTGCATGCAGACCATTGGCCTTGTGCTCTCCACTCATGTTCTAAAATATTCATCAGGGCTGGTTCAAGAAATGTTGCTGCCTGAGGCCAAGAACAAGTTGATCATTCCTTTGGGAATCGTGGGGAAAATGGGTTTATATTCTTTTAGCTTGCAAGCTAGTATATCACATAAAAACATAGGCTCATAACACCGAATTGCATAGAAAACTGTATCTAAAAGAAAAGTATATCTTTTCACAAGTTATTTCATATGTTGGGTGATTGCAACCAAACGGTTGCGAGTAAAATCTTTTTTATAGTATTATTACTATTGATGGAGTCAATGCATTTGACCAAGTCAACAGAGCAGATAGTATTTTCTTTGTATTCTGTCAGCTGGAGGATATAACACTGCAAATCTGAAGACCATGCCTGTAATATCTGTGACTTGATGTAGTCTATATGTAAAAATTGATCCTGTTGCTAGAAGCCAAATCAATATAAAACATTCCAGTGCAGTGTTCTTTGCTGGGTTCTGTTTTAGTATAGTTTGAAGGCAGAGCAACATTGAAAACAGGCTTGAGCATCTTTGACTTAAGAAACTGTCCACAAATTGCTGATGGGCAAAATGTTTACTCCTGTCTTTATATTGCATGCACCTGTAGAAATCTTTGCAACTGAAGGTATTTTTGAGAGAGACAATAGAATAACAGCAAAATGATCAGAACAGCCATACTTTACAGCCTATGCTTTGCAGTTTATGACAAAGTCTTTGATTGTGTAGATCAAAGTTTCTCAAACAGTGCTCCTCCAGATGTTTTGGACTTCAGCTCCCATAATCCCTAATAGCTGGTAAGCTCGCTGGGATTTCTGGGAGCTGAAGTCCAAAAGTGTTGGAGGAGTACAATTTGAGAGACACCGGTGTAGATCATGAACAACCTTGGATCACTCTTGAAGAATTGGGTGTGTTACAACATCTAATTGTTCTCATATGTAACCTGTACTTAGGACAAGAGGCTACAATCAAGGCAGAATATAGAGAAAGGGTGTCAGACAAGGCTGCACTTTAGCACCCTGTCTGTTTAGCTTATGCATTGAATACCTCTTACATAAAGATGAATTAGACTTGGAGGAAGGAGGTATGCAAATTGGTGGAGAGAACATTAACAGTTTAAGATATGCAAATGACACAATACTGCTAGCCAAAAAACAACAACAAAGTTTTGGAATGACTAGTGCAGAAAGTCAACAAAAATGTGCCAAGGCAGGCTTACAGTTTAACATGAAGATAATAATCATAATCATAATAATCATAATAATCATCATAATAATAGCCATAGATGACCCCTTTAACTTTAGCTCTGTAGCACTGTAAAGTTTATTGATTAGTCCACTGACCATATCAACAGTAGAAGACAAAAACATGAAAATACACAAATAGACACTAATCACCATCCTAAAACCCCTGTAATAGTGAACATACATTAAAACACAATTAAAACTTGATTAAGTTAAAAGTTAAAGATAATTAAAAATATCATAATTAAAGTGCCAAGGTAAAACTTCATATCACAGAAGTTAAGAACGAAGGTTAAAACAAAGGTTAAAATAGACCATAACCATAACTTTAAGTAGCCAATGAAGACATTCAAATAATCAAAGATTATCTATACCGTGTCTCAGGCATTAACCAGAATGGAAAGTGTAATCAAGGAATCAGGAGAAGGCTCGGACTTGGAGAGGTAGCTGTGAAGGAACTAGACAAAATCATGAAGTGTAAAGCTGTAACACGTATTCCTGCCATCAAATTTCTGATTTCTGGTGTAGTTGTAAAAGCTGGACAGTGAAAAAATTGTTAGAAAGAGATTGAACTCTGGTGTTGGATGAGAGTCCTGTGGATACCACAAATTGCCAAAAGAAGCCAAAATAAATAAACTGAGGCTGTCATGCTTTGGACTCATCTCAAGAAGATATCACTCATAGAAAAGTCAATGAGGGAATGGAAAAGAGGAAGGCTTTATTACAAGTGGATAGACTCAAATCTCACTACCTCTGAGAATGCTTGCCACAGATGCAGGCGAAATATCAGGAGAAAATGCCTTTAGAACATGGCCATATAGCCCAAAAAAACCTACAACAACTCATGATATGTTAGGTTGCAGCACTTGAGCAGAGCTGTTGATAACAGGGTGACTTGGAGGTCTCTCACTGATAGGGTCACCATAAATTGAAGTTGACAGCAGTTAGAAACAACAAAATGCTTTACAAATATGAAATGTATCATCTCTAGAGTTCAGTCTACTTCATGACTAACTGTTAAGTCTTACAGAATACTGGTGAATAAGACAACCAAAATTATGCTCATTCCACAGAGCTGGAATAAGCATCTGTAAAAGTATTCTGTATATTTTACAGTATAGTGTAAAAGTATACTGTATATTGGCAATAAGAGAGTTCAGGTTCTGCAGCGTTATAACACCACCCTCCTCCCAAACTTTAATCTGATCTCATCAATAGAGGAATATCTAAGACAAGTGGCCTACAACATCATCCTTACCTAATATTCATAACTTCTGCACCACACATTACAATTTTTAGAAGGAAAGTCCCAGTTTGTTCCTCCTACTTTTACCTTCCTCCTTTGTCCTCAAAGTATTTCAGTTGATGCAAAGAGTGTTCAAAATGAAAAAGTAGCTTGCATTCAATTAACTCAGTGTCAGGAAATAGAATCTTGCCTTTCTAAGTAGAGCAAACTGCCCTACTCTCTCTTACCTTGTTTATCCCTCATTCATAATGTTTGTCATTTTGATAATGCTCTTATGTTGTTTGACACACATGTCCTTTTTCATGTTGGAGGATATGACAAAGCAAGGCTAGGGTTATGTAGTGTGAATACATCATTAAGCATAATTCAAGAAAGAAAGCCATGGTTAAATCTTAATGTCTGGTCAGGGTCAGGAAAAAAACTATCTTCATATTCAGTAAATAATCTGTTGAAGCTTAGGGTTTTATTTTTCCCCTGAAATAAATCAGTGGGCCTTTCCACACAGCTTTTTATCCCAGGATCCAATCTCAGATTATGTGCTTTAAACTGGAAAATATGACTCCCCACTGTCAGATAACATGGGATAAACAGGTAATCTGGGATCAGATCCTGGGATATAGGAGCAGTGTGGAAGGGCCCTAACAGATCTCTTTTTGAGAAGAATCTATACAGAAAGCCATGGCACTTTTTTCTGGCTTGTCCCTAAGAGCTTACAGAGATATGATTCTATAACTATAAGTGGTCAATCTATAGTTGAAGTCGTACATTATTTTTTAAAAGCTTGCAAGACATTTTGGACATGACCTAAATATGAACTTAGTGATTTGCAGAGAAATATTGACTCTGAAGTTGCAGCAGGAAGAAAAAGAGTCCTTTTTTGTAGTTTTGGGTTTTTCTGCCTTTAGAGTGTTTTGTATGTGCAAGAGCCCAGGTTCAAAGAAATAACTTGACCCTCAGTAATGCCTGTCACTTTGGAGTTATGCTTCACTTGTCTCAATTCTTTGAAGAGAAATGTCAGCAGCATCTATTGAAAACCCCTGGCAAAGGGAAAGAGAGTTATTGAAGAGACCTCTACAGAGTAATGACTATTTTATAATCCAAAGCATAGCAGTTCTTAAGAGAAGTTTGCCTTTCTATGAGCCTAGCTAAATGTCCTAAGTGGACTCAAATTGTAAATTGTAAAATTTAAAATAAAAACAAAAGCACTGATTTTGAGAGGGAGCATAATTTAAAGCAGAGAAGCAGCTTGGAGAAGATAATGCTTCACCCTTCCTGTTATCATACTCAATCCTTCTCTGATTCTCTGCTTCAGATATCTTTAATTATCTGCTTTTAACCCCAGATGCTCCAGATTTGTTTTTTTGTGGTACAGAAGGCATTGGGAAGCATCTGCATGGAGAGGGAACTTGGAGACAGTTTTGAGAAGAAGCTGATGTATGCAAGAGCCAAGGGCTCATCCACACTGGGCAGTTTATCTGGACGTAAATGAGCTTGCAAGTGCTGGGGAGTGCAGTTGCTTCACTGAGGTGGTGCACATCTTATCTCCGCCATATCACCACCACCATCATTGCTCTTAACTGGCCATGGAGCTCAGTGCAAGCTTCTGGCATCTGTGTTACCAGTATCAGAAGGAAGAAGATTCCCCTACTTCTTGCTGGTCATATGTGTGCCCCTTTCTGACACTGGCATAACCACCTATGCAACCGGGAAGTGGGAGGGGAGGACATCCTCTCATGTGGGTGCCTCTGCTAATGTCAGAACAGGACACCTGCAGACCAGTTGCTGGTTGTGTGGCCTCCCTATTCTGCTGTCAGCAGAAACATGTATGATGGCTAGGAGTGGTGGTAATATGCTCATGATCCATCTGGATAACAGATCATGTTAATTGGGTCTGATCAATGGTCCAGACTGGCTCAATGCTGCAGGATTTTTGAGAGTTTCAAACAAGTTCCAAGGTTTCCCCTGGTTTTGCTTAAAAGTGGGGCAAAACCAGTTTAAACCCAACTTACACAGATATTCATCAGAAGTAGACATAAGGCTACAATTGTAAAACAGGAAAAACAAAAACAATGGCATTTACAAGTTCTTATTCTTACAAGCTTTTTAACACCTTAGCTTCCTAAGAAAGTATTACCCTTGACAGATAAATATATGGTTTCCAACTTCTGTCCATGACCATTGTGGTTGGAAATTAGAATTTGAGTCTTCAAAATTATACATGCCCATGAAGGTTGCTGGGTGGCTTTATTCCAGTTGCCACTTACCTGACAGGACTAAAATAAGGCTGTTGCAGCACTCTGAGCCCCTTAAAAGAAAATAAGGTACACATTTAGAAAGCAAAGTGCCTTGAAAATTATAGAAGTTTTAATATGTTATTTACAGTCTTGTTTTCTTTATTTTCACAGCACACTTTGCAAAAAGAAAGAAAACATCTCTTTGGTTTACAATTTCTCTTTTGGTGGTGTCAGTTTTCATATTGACTATAGGCCTTGCAGCTACCACAAGAACAGAAAATGTCTCCGTGGGTGGCTACTATCCAGGAATAATTGTAAGTAAAGTGGGAATTAATTTTCTCAGTGCTGTATTCATAGTGCTATCTTGTATATTGATCTAGACACAGCCAATTGTAGTAAACCCTATTGGTGTGCATGATGCTAGAGTGACATCATTTTTGTGACCTGTGGTAAAGGAAGCATGTTTAGGTGGAGAAGAGTTAGAGCAAAATACAACAGAACACAAAATACAAGAAAGAGCTAATGGTTTACCTTTATTGGTCAACTCAAATGAAAAAAATACATCATATAAGCTTTTGAGTCTTTATATTATTATTATTATTAATGTTTATTTATACCCCACTTTTCTCTCCACAAGGAGACTCAAAGCGGCTTCACTGGCTCCTTCATTAGGCAAAGATGGTAAAAATCATACAGATGAGACAAAATGTAAACCTGTGACTCTAATATCAGTATTTTTCTTCTCCTGTATGATTTTAAACATCTTTTTTCTTGATGAAGAAGACGGTAAAACTTCAAAAGGTTTTTGCTTTTGGGTTGGCTAATAAAGATATTGCTCTTTGTAGTTTGTTGATTTTATGGTACTGTATGGCTGAAAAAGGTTTTGTGAGATTTAGTGCCACCAATATTTAACCTATGTGTGTAAATGGGAGACTCATTTTAATACATTGGGTTATTTAATAATCTCAGATATAAACTTGGGGGAAAGGTAGATTATACAGGACTTCAGTGTGAGTACTTTGAAGATTATTATAACTCTATCTTAGTTATAGTTCTCTGAAATTAAGGAAGATTTTATAGGTAAAGGTAAAGGTTTTCCCCTTGACATTAAATCTAGTTGTGCCCGACTCTGGGGGGTGGTGCTCATCTCCATTTCTAAGCCGAAGAGCCGGTGTTGTCCATAGACACCTCTTAGGTCATGTGGCTGGCATGGCTGTATGGAGCACCGTTACCTTCCCGCCGGAGAGGTACTTGTTGATCTACTCACATTTACATGTTTTCAAACTGCTAGGTTGGCAGAAGCTGGGGCTAACAATGGGATCTCACCCCGTCTCGCGGATTTGAACCGCCAACATTTTGGTCAGCAATATTTAATAGAGATAGTTAAATTATTCCCTGCTGTGTTAATCATAGATTAATGATGCCTTATCAAACAAGATCAAGTTTAAGATAATGCTTGATTCCAGGCCTGGTCCACAGGCCTTTAGGCAAAAGACAAGGGTGCAGATTTTTCAGATTTGGTGACTCCGTTTGAGCTCAAATTGTAGAATAGCTTCTGGCTACAATGTGCAAAGTTAATTGATTTTTTTTGTTGCAACTTGCAAAAACTTTAAGAGGGTAGTTACTTAGTTTCCTCCTTCCCACCCAGAGCTCACCCTCCAATCCTCTCTCCAGCACCTTCTTTGCTAGAAGCAAGTAGGCTAAGTTAAATTATTCCTACCCCATCTCCATATATAAGTGATAAGGATATTCTCATTTCTTCTTTCAGCTAAGATGTCTGTTTTAATTTCCAAGCAATGTGCTCTTTATGTGTGGATTTGAATGACAAGCTGTGAGCAACCGCAGTTGGTACTTAATTCATCCATAGGGGTCATCTGTAGAGTTAAGGGCCTGAGATTATTCTGATCTCCCAAACAGGTGGTTATATATGCACTCTGTTTTTGTTTTGTTATTTATTAATCTCTTTCTGTTTAATATGTAAATACTTTATACTGAGTTAGATAGTTGGCCTGTCTAGTCCAGGGCAAACTTCTCCATCTGATAGCAACTTTCTTCATGCTTATTTTCAATCATTTGTCTGAAACTCTTTTAAACTGAGATCCCTAAAATTATATACATGAAGCAGATGCTCAAATACTGAGCTGTGGTTCCTTGCGTGTTTTCGCATTCATGTCCTCTATATTTTTAAAAATTGCTGTATACGCCATACCTAGCTGACTCAGATTCTTATTTCTTGACATAGCTTGGCTTCGGATCTTTCCTAGGGATTATCGGTATCCATCTGGTAGAGAACCGGAAGCAAATGGTAAGCAAATCTTGTATTTAAAACCTTTCAAAGAAATCTAAACATTTAAAAGACGTACTAAACCTTGATCCGTACAGGCCTCTGCTAAATGTTCTGCTAAATACAGTAATGAGAAATTGCTTTTTTTTAAAAAAAAAAAAATCTGCTGGTGCAGTTCAAACACTGAGCTCCACAAGGTGGTTCATCTTGGATTGTTGTGAGTTTTCCGGGCCATATGGCCATGTTCCAGAAGCATTCTCTCCTGATGTTTCACCCTCATCTATGGCAGGCATTCTCCGAGGTTGTGAGGTATATTGGAAACCAAGCAAGGGAAGTTTATATATTTGTGGACCTCTCTTGTTTAGTTTCCAATATGTCTCACAACCTCTGAAGATGCCTGCGGGCGAAACATCAGGAGAGAATGCTTCTGGAACATGGCTATACATCCTGGAAAACTCACAGCAACCCAGTGATTCAGGCCATGAAAGCCTCTGACAACACATGGTTCATCTTGCTTTCTTTGTGAGCATCTGATGGTGATGTGGCCTGGGTTGTTTGCTGTGGGTATGTCCAATTTTTCCCCATTCATCTCTTTCCAGTTTTATTTTTATTTCGACATCTTCATGTTTACTGCGCTTACATGCTGCTTTGTTGTTGTGTGCCTTCAAGTCATTTCTAATTTTACTACCCTATATTCTTATGTCTGCACATTCCCAGGTATTTTTAACCTGGTGTAAATCTAAGAATCCATTGGCCATCCAATGGATTCTGATGCAAATGAAAGTTAACATGGAAAAGCATTATGTAGAGTATTGAATGTGACAGCAATACTGTACTAGAGTGATTATCCTTTCCCCCCAAAACTGAGGACTTGATTATTATTTTTCTTTCTCCATGGTGGAGCTAGAATATAATAAGGCACCTCCACAGTTTTGATCCGCACGCGTAGCTTTATTCCTGCAGGTGTTAGATTAACCATCTGTGCTGCTTACGAAAACCTAACAGTTGAAGCGACACATTCATAAAACAGTTGAAGCAACACATCATAAAATATTCTGATAGGTCATGTCCTTTTCATAAAATGCTGAAAACTAACAATTTGGAAAGCCAAAATATGGTCATCAATTATATGCTTGGTTTTGTGGGCTCAACTAATGAAGTAAGAATGGGGTTTGAGAACACCCTTTTTTTTGAAGAGACACCTGAGAACAAAATTAGTATCTTCAGTCTTTACAGAAGCAAAATATTTTTCAGTCTAGACCTTGGCTGAAGGAGGGCTATATAATCACAGATATCAAAGTTTGGAATACACACACCTTCAGTAAATCTCTCTAGGAAGCAAAGTTTGTCTTGGTTTTGTTGATTGATACAACATGAGTGCTCAGTACTAGAATTTTTCAGTGGCCTTCTCTATGGCTGCCAGAATGGCCCCTCGGAAGCTAAGATCACAGCAGTAATTCTCCAAACCACCATCAATCCCTCAGGAACTCTCATCAAACTTACTCAGTATAACTACAACCTATATCCTACCCCCATTGCATTAACCACCAGACTCTAATTACAGTGGCTTAACTCTTTTACAGGTGGTCAGGCCAGAGGTATTATCACTTAGGAAATGCCAGGCAATTTTCAAATTGTCAAAGTACCACTTCAGACTTTGGGTAAAGGCTTACCTGATATAATGCTCCTATTTATCCAAGCAACATTATGCTTGTTCCTTGGAATATTTGCTCAATGCCATATTCATTTTGTCCTTGTATGAGCAAATCAATTATTTTGAAGATTCAGGAGGTCCCAGTGGTGCAGCGGGTTAAACTGCTGAGCTTCTGAACTTGCTGACTGAAATGTTGGTGGTCTGAATCCGGGGAGTGGGGTGAGCTTCCGCTGTTAGCCCCAGCTTCTGCCAACCTAGCAGTTCAAAAACATGCCAATGTGAGTAGATCAATAGGTACCGCTCCAGCGGGAAGGTAATGGCACTCATGCAGTCATGCCAGCCACATGACCTAGGAGGTGTCTATGGACAACACCGGCTCTTTGGCTTAGAAATGGAGATGAGCACCACCCCTCAGAGTTGGACACAACTAGACTTAATGTCAGGGGAAAATATTTACTTTTACCTATCTTCAGCACTTGTATTGAAACACATTTTAAAATGTTTTCCCAGGTTCATACTGATGATCATTCAGACAAAAAGGATATTTCAGGGGTTTAAAAGTTGTAAAAAGTGACCCTCTCTCCCACTCAAGAGTCATTTTACAGTTAGGTAATTACAACTCCTATTACTCATTAGAAACCCATTGCAATTGTACCCTTTGCTGCAGCTAGAATAGACATAAATGAATAATGAACACCCAGTACCCATGACATAATCATATCTCTGGTGTGACAGCTCTCCAGTGAAGTCTCAATTACAGCAGTGCTATTATTGAGGCACCGACCTTTGGAAAGAATAGGCTGACGGGGCATAAATTGTGAGGCGTCATGCCTAGTGCAGCGATAAGTTGCCTTAATAGCCAAGGAGTGGGCATCCATGCAGGGGTTTGTGTATTTCAGTATTTTACGAGGAAGGTGGAGTTCACATTTCAGGACATTTGTGACTGGCAACATCCCTGGAAAATGTGTCAAAGTAAATGAATGGCTGATGACTGATCCAGGTCTTACCATCTCACTCTGGCACGAGCTGACAATGCAGGTGCCTCAGCACTGATAGCTGTACTTCAGGCAGAATGTGATCAGGCTCAGTTTTGTGAATACCCTTCCTACAGTATTAGATCTGTATGGCTCTTTAGTTGTCATAGCAGCAGACATATTTTCTCTGGTCATGATTTTGGCATTTACTGAAAATGCTTGAACACTGTGGAAAGAGATGAAGCACTTTCTTGAAATTCTGCCATTTTGCAATATATAGTAATACTAATAAATTTTATCGATTAGCCCTTAGGCCATATCACAATACCAAACCAAACAAAAAGGTTTGATAAAACTTGATTACACTCTATATAATAAGTTAAGTAAAACCAAGGAGCCCCTGGTGGCGCAGCGGATTAAAGCGCTGATCTGCTGAACTTGTTGATCAAAAGGTCGCAGGCTCGAAGTCGGGGAGCGGAGCAAGCTCCCTCTGTCAGCCCCACTTCTGCTGACCTAGCAGTTTGAAAACATACAAATATGAGTACATTAATAGGTACCGCTTTGGCAGGAAGGTAACAGTGCCCCATGCAGTCATGCCGGCCACTTGACTTTGGAGGTGTCTATAGACAGCACCGGCTCTTCGGCTTAGAAATAGAGATGAGCACCAACCCACAGAGTCGGACACAACCGGATTTAATGTCAGGGGAAAACCTTTACCCTACCTTTAAAACACTTATAACAATACAGTAGCAATATATAGAAAACAAGCTTTCATTTGTTTTTCCTGATCTTCAGGTTTAGAAAAATCTGGAATTAAATCACAATTTCTCCGAAGTATCCATTCTGGAATATGGCCATGTGTGAATTTGGATTCTAATTAAGTGGACTCTGATTAGGATGGTTCACTTTCATAACAGAATTACTGACAGGCATAATAAAATTGCTAAGGCCTTATGTTTGACAGCCTCCATTTCTTTCCTCTTCCATCATATTACATTATCTCATCTCCTTTCCTGTTTGTGAGGTAGTGAGTGTTTTTAACAGTAGCACTTTATTTAAAATTTAATACAGGACATATTCTGAGAAGTAAATTTAGAAACAAATGATGTAAGTTTGGTTACGCCAAGGAGCAATGTAGTACTACAATAATTTTCATGCATTACATGTAATGTAGGACTACAGTGATTTCCATAATTTTTGATGCATTCAGGATCATGCATGGAAGGAATTTTATCTCTCCAATAAGCTACAGAGTGAGTAGGCAAAACAGAGTGTATTAATCCAAACTATATATTACTGGCACTTGGCATCTTCTGAATTATAACACTTATTGCAAGTAGGAGAACTGGCACATTTTAAAGTAAAGGTAAAGGTAAAGGTTTCCCTTAACATTAAGTCTAGTCGTGTCCAACTCTGGAGGGTGGTGCACATCTCAATTTCTGAGCTGAAGAGCCATCATTGTCTGTAGATGCCTCCATGGTTATGTGGCTGACATGACTGCATGGAGCGCTGTTACCTTCCTGACAAAGTGGTACCTATTGATCTCACATGTTTTCAAACTGCTAGGTTGGCAGCAGCTGGGGCTAACAGTGGGAGATTACTCTGCTGCCCAGATTCGAACTGCCAACATTTTGGTCAGCAAGTTCAGCTGCTCAGCAATTTAACCTGCTGCACCACTGGGAGCTCCTAGCACGTTTTAAAAGAAAGCCTCATTTAGCCAAGGGCTGGACTAGGATTCTGAGAGATCAGCATTCAGATATTTGCTCAGCCATGGAAACCTTCTGAGTGACCTTGGGCAAGCTTTACTCTCTTAGCCAATGAAGAAGGCAGTGGCAAATCTCTTCTGAATAAATCTTGCCAGGGGAATCTAAGATAAGGATCCAAGAGGTGTCTTGAAGGCACACACTACTACCAACAATCTTTTGATACACTAAAGTACACGTTTGACTACAATATGGGATATTTGCCAAATGGTTTGCTTTTGACTACAAGCCAAATGGCCAGGCATGTGAAAGAATCAATAGTAGGACTACAATAACTGCATGGAATGCATAACACATGCCTGTTTTTTTCTTTTCTTTCTAGCTGATAGCATCTATTGTGTTCATCAGTTTTGGAGTGGTGGCAGCCTTCTGTTGTGCAATTGTTGATGGTGTGTTTGCAGCACGACACATAGTAAGTATGATGTTTGATATTATGTTCTCTCCTGTTTACACACAAATGTTTGTAACTGCTAATCATTTTTGAATGTTTGGTATCTAATCACTTAGTTCATTAGACCATGGTTACTCTATTTAATGAAGAAATAGACATAGTGAACTTAGGTTTTCATACAAATAGTCCCACTAAATTCCTTGTGGTTCCCAAACAGTTTCACTTATATCTAGTCCTGTTGGCAGAAACCCTTTAAGGAACTATATTGCTATGAAAATGTCAGCTGCTTGAATTACATTATTCATCATTATTACTTCACTGTATAGATAGGAACTATAATTGAGAATTGGGTTTAAAACATACAAAGGAAACATTATTGGGGGGAAAATAGTTTAAAAACAATGTATGTGGCAGATTGCCACAGATTTTAAAAAGTGTTTTGGTGTGGATTTTGGCACTGTCTGGAAGCACCCTGAGACTGTTGTCCTTTTGAAGCCACACCATTGAGTCTGCAAGGCCTGAGCAGGCCTGCCTATGATAGATAGTCTCTCATTCATTGGATCACTGTAAGTCGAGGTAGACTTAACAGTGGATAACAAAAACAATGTCAAAGAGAGGTTCTGTTCAGAAAGAATCAACATGGATTCTGAAAAGATTTTTAAAATCCTTTTTGAGATTGTCAATAAACATTTATGAATGGAGTGATGTCAATCATGTTTAATTAGACTTCCAAAAGCTTTTGACAAAATACACCACCAAAGTCCGTCACTTATAGTATAGACGAAGTACTCTTCTGGAGTGTTAACTGGTTGAAGTAGAAGAAACAGAGTAACAGAAGTTGTGTGGAGGCATGTGAGCAGGGAGGTCCCTCAGGAATCTGTATAGAGATGAGTGCTTTTAAACTTGCTCATAGATTATCTGGAATTGGAGATGACTAGTGAAGTGGCTAAATTTACCAATGACCCTTAATTATTTAGGATACTAAGAAAGAAAAGAGACTACAAAGAGCTCCAAAATGATCTCTCTGAACTGGGGAAAGGACAATTTAATGGTAAATGAGATGCACTATAAGCAAGTATAAAATGTTACATATGGAGTAAAAAAAAAAACTTCAGCTATTCACGGATGAGTGAACACCAATGGATGAAGATTTGAAAATAAGAATGAAATAAAATAAAAATCAAACTTTCAGTAACGGTCTCCTTGTGGATATCTATGGTGCCATCACACTTTACGAAAAGTTACTGAATTTGACTATTATTAAGTTTAGTAACAACAGTTATGTCAAAACAATGGAAAAAGATTTTATGTTCTTCATCTTCGTTTATAAGAGCACTTGAAGCATCTAACAAGTCTGAATGGTGCGAGATTCAGGACTCTTAAATAATTTGGTGTATCCAAGAGGGTGAAAAATGGAATCATTTAGAGATTCAACAGAGACAATTTTTCTACTATCCAAAATATCTTTTAAACTTTATTTATGGGGGCAGGGCAGGCAGGGGGAGGACTCCAATAAATTCTGCTCACTTTCATAATGGACTTGTTAAAGATTGAATTATGAAAGATTTTCCAAAATTCTCACGCTGTGTCTCAAAACGATCAGGTGGTAAATATTTTGTGCATTCCAGAACATTTTAAAAAACAAAACACGAGCCAAAACTCAAGGCAAATATTAGTATCCCATAAGAAACCTACAGTGGCATGAAATGATATCAAATTTACTTTAATTGAGACAGTCAGTGTGGTGTAGGGTTTGAGCACTGGATTAAGACTCTGGAAACTAGCATTCTATCTCATTTGGTCATGGAAACCCACTGGGTTTCTTGGACATGTCAAACTCTCTGAGAACCTTTCTACACATCACCTAAAATGCGGAAGTTAGCAGATTAAAAGGGGGTTTGTGGCTAACTGATACTAGCTGTAGATCTGCACTGATTCGCAGCAACAGATGAAAAACATGTGTTAAAAAGATGTGTTTATATCCTGATTCCGGCCTTAAAATGTGCATATTTTCATCACTGTATATCCCTGCAGTCATTCAAAACACTGATTCCCCTCCATCCTGTGGAGAGCCCTCCAGCGTACATGTACTTTTTAAAAGCCCGAAACAGCTGATCAGCTGATTGGGGGGCTGTTAAATGGACACACAGGTGACTCAAGGGAAGCACAAGTGGGAAGCAATTAGAACTCTCTGAAACCCTTTATTTTAATATTTATAATATTAAACAGAGCTTGAATTAAGGGTTGAGGGAAGAGAGATCCTGCAGAAGTTTTTTTTAAAAAAATCCCCCTGTATGTGCTGGACTGTATATGCGCACATGAAAATCTACTTATTTTTATATTAAGATATTTCCATGTGTGCATTTACAGTCCAGTGCATAATGGAGTATTTTTTTAAAAAAAACAAAACGCTTCTGCTGGATGTCCCTTGTCTGCCCTCCATCTTGTTCTGATGAAGAGGAGACCTGTGAAGATAGCAGGGGAGCCAATCCCAGGACTAACAGATCTGTGTGGGGAGTCACGTCCCGGGTTCCCCCCCCCCCCAATTTAAAACTCAGATTTTGGCACTGAGCCTTTGAGGAAGGCAAGGCAAACCCCTTTGGAACAGATCTTGCCTGTGATAGATTCACCTTACAGTTAAGTCGTAAAACTATTTGAAGACACACAACAATCATAAATGAAATATATATGGCATTTTATTTGTATTGCAATAGTAATAATAATGGACAATGAAAAAATGTGTTATTTGTCTCTTCTTCTTAATGAAGTCTTTGTTTAAGGCAACAAAAAGTATTTAGTCTGTATGTTCTGGTGAAAGAAAGATAGTTATAAGAACAGAAGCACATATGATTTGCTCAATTCTGAGGGAAAACACTTCACTCAATAGAAAATATTATGGAAAACCACTTACAAAATTAGAAGCTTATTTGAAAATGCCTCGATTGAAAGTACTCCTGTCTCATTTGAGAAAGAATAATGCATACAGATATAATTTGCTATGTTAAGTACACTTTATCATTTGTGTATTCAAAACCATTTTTCACCTTTCAAAAAAAAAAGCTGAATGCCTGCATCAAATGAAATAAATACAGCTGGAAGTAGCTTGTAATTATGTTAGTTCAGAAGGAAAGGGGATCGGAGCAAATTACAGGAATCCATTATATGTGAATCATGTTTGTTTGAGCTATCTCGTTACCTAGCAGTAAAGCTACCCCATCTTTGCAAATCTGGATACTTTTACAACTCAAAACAAAACAGAAAATCCTTCCACAACAACATACTGCACTTCCTTGCTTGAGAGGAATCCCTTGAGAGGAATCCCTTAGGATTACTTTTTACTGTTCAGGAAGAAATAACATTTTTAAGGGACACCTCTTCCCTTAAAAGACCATTTACCTGAAATTAACATTTTGTAAAATGGAGAATCTCCTAGGCCTATACAAGGATCCCAATATCTTGTACCATTACCAGTGAAAGTTAATATCGATGCCTGTTACTCTGAGGCTGAATACCAGATAAAGGTAACATGAGTTTCCAGAAGAAACCAGAGAAGGTAAACAGAGCAAGTGGATAAACTAGTGCTAGTCATTAAGAAGTGATTATGCATATGGTACTTGTTTGTAAACCACCTCAAGTTACTGTAAACCGCCTCGAGTTGCCTCCGGGTTGAGAGGGGCAGTATATAAATATGGTAAATAAATAAAATAAATAAATACTTGGTCTTATAGATGTAGCACAAGAAACTGGTACAGGGTCAGGAATTTAACCAAATGGACAGTTGGTTGATCCTAAAACCTGAGGAGAGCCATTCTGCATGAGATGAAAGCTTTGTTTATTTAATTTATATCTCATTAACATTCTGCTTATTCAGTGACAAGTATGGTTGTAGAAGGGCACTTCACCTCAATCCAACAGCCACTGAGCAGGCAGCTTCATATGGTGAAACTCCTGCTATTTATCATGGTCTGGCTGATTGATGGTTCTTTTGTTGTTGAATACCTTCAAGTAATTTCTGATGTATGGTGCCCCTAAGAAGAATCTATAATGGAGGGTGTTTTTTTTTTTTTGCAAGATTAATTCAGAGGGAGTTTGCCATTGTGTTCCTCTCAGTTTTAGACAGTGTGATTTGCCAAGATCATGCAATGGGTTTCCATGCTTGGATGGAAATTGAGACCTCATCCCATGAGCAAGGTGAAAGTGGGTGAAAGTCAAGGGAACAATCTTTCTCTGTTCCCTCCTGCCAAGGTCCGTCATCTGGGACAGCCAGCCATCCCAAGTCCTTTCCCTGTCAAAGTCTTCCACCACTTTTCCCCATTTGGATTTGGCTAGCATCCGACTTCTTAAAACATATTTTGGGCTCAGTTTCCAAGTGCTGCAGAAACGGAGTCCCATGGAGACCTACCAGAAGTGTCCGTACATTATGTGATGGCATCTGTGGGATTCCATTTCTGAAGTGCATGGAAACGGAGCCCAGAATCCATGGGATGAGGTCCTTGAACTCTATTTTCTAGAAATATGGTCCAATGTTCAAACCACAACACAACATAGAACCAAGATGGTTTATATTTCATGCCAATGCTAGATTGTCTAAAGGCACAAAATCCTGTGTGCGAACCTTTAAAATACATAAGGAGCAAATCCTAGACAGTTTAATAGCCTAGGTCTCAGCATGAGAGCCTGATGTTTCTCAGTTTAACTTTTGAACCTCTGAAAATATATATACACTTGGCATTTTTATCTATCCCATTGTAACTTGTTTTAGTACCAAATACATATAAGAATGTGCCAATAAAACAAATTAGATACTTTTCTTTTTCTTTCTTTTTATCAAGTTGTAATCCATGTGAATTAATTTTGTAGAAATCAGTAAAAACAAGTGTGTTGTTTTCAGTGGTACTCTTTTTAATAGCTGACTTTACCACCTCATTAGTCAGGGTTTGGGAAGTATCCTAGGACACTTCCCCACCAGTCCAGCGATGGATGGGCACCTTGCAGGACTTCTGGAGGAGGTCTCATCCACA